GCACATTTTCGATATCTTCTGTACTACGAATTTCACCAAAGCCAAATCCTTACGGAATAGCCCGGGACACATGCCTTGTGTACGGCAATGATGCTATCGCTGAAAGTACTGCTCAAGAGTGGTTTGCCAAGTTTAATCCGGGAACTAAAGGATGCCTCCCGCTCTGGCCGACCGTCAGAATAAAGACCATCGGAAGACACTTTTGAAAAAAGACGGCCAATAGACAACTCGGGAGTTGGCCAAAAAGTTAGGCTGCAGCTATGCGGCTGTTGTTAAGTGCCTTAAGTACCTTGAGTTTACACTGAAATTCGAAGTTACCAAGGGCACCTCATTAACCAACAAAAATTACGACTTAACTCTGCATCTTATCATCCCGCCCGGTATCAAGTGTCGCATGGCCGCAATAACCAATTTTCACACAGAATTGTCAACGATGATGAGACGTGTTGTCTTTACGTCAACAAAATAGATGTCGAAGTGAGTAGGTCCAAGCGAAAAATTAAGGCCTAGGGTCCACTGTCATAACCGCAGCGATTGTAGCCACTTCTCAGTCGCTCTTCTTCGCTACTCGAGTAGCAACGGCCATTTATCGGCCACGACCAATCCTGCCGCAAATTTCATATTTGAGACGCTCAAACTATACAAATTTCTGATGTGCCGAAGAAAGATAGACAAGAAGGTTAGTAGGCGTTCGTCTTCATTTAATCCTTTTAGTGTGTATGATCTGGTTACATGGGCAACAGGATTCAGATACGACTGTGGCCTTCCTGGCCAGTCTGTTATGAGCAGTTCAGACATGTGGGAAAAGTACAAAAAACCAAAAATTTTATTGGTAACGTAAAACGTCAAAAAAGTCACAGCAGTAATACCTCTAAGAATGTCCCAGTTTATGCAGTGCGGTAGGGCATTGTAGAAGAAGCGTGAGAGACGCGAGATGAATGTAAAATACAGTACTCTAAATCGCATGTGGTATTCTCAATAGCTTCAAAGTTGGTTGGCGTGGACTTAACGGAAAGCCACCGTAATGAGCCCCAAACTAGTGGCTCTCAGGTGCTAATTGTAGCACTGACACGCCTGCAAATATAATATTGGCAGCGAGTACTAACTTGTCCAATGAGTACGTTACGGAACTTTTTTCACTTGTACTACACTTGATGAATGGTATTTTTTCTTCAGTTTGACATACTTAAAAAGTACTATCGAGGCAGGTCTCTGCAGTAGTCCAAATATATTCGGGAATTCACCACGATCAAGACGGAGCATTGCGGTCAAAGCGAGTTGCAGAAGCATGAAGTATGCCATGCGAAGAGGCATGCCAACGAGCCAGTCAAAGGCATTAAGTTCTGATCAGATTTTCGCAAAGTTCTGCGAGCTAAGCTATTGGAAGGTTTCTCATTATTTCTTGTGATCGCTTTTTGCAAATGTAAGTGTACCAGTTTTCCTTGATCTTGCATTCGTCAAGTGAGTTGATCCTTGTCGCTTGTATAATCGTTTACCTTACGCAAATCTATGGTAAGGAGACCGCCGATATCAGCGTGACAACTCTGGTCACATTTTTAGAGCAGTCTGAGTTAGTCAGCAAGAGCCTCTAAGGTGTTACTATTGACGAAGCGCAGTAACGAGAAACTGAGCACAGAATTCATGAGTAAGTCGAAAAAGACGTTATATACAGTTTTATGCATGGCGCGTGCTGTCCGTTTCACAGTGTTGACCATTGTGAGCAAGCGTACTTCAAGCGAAACGTCAGTGGCAGAAAAAAAGCTGGCGACAAAGCACTCAAGCTTTGCGGTGACGATGATGAGCAGGAAAATGGAGACTCATTTCAAAGAATGTCTCCAAACCAGGTGCTAGCAATTATTGACGGTGGTCACGGCAGGACATATTCAACCATCCCGGTGGTTTTAAGTAAGGTGGAGCACTCCACTGCAATGCATGATGAGTTCTTGCGAATTCAGCACGAGCTCACAAAAAAGGAACTGTCAGTTGTTCTAGTCCCCGCTATCAGGTAGAATGGATTCCTAAGGGTTTTAAAAAGGTTTCAAGAGCTTTTCAAATCTCTACAAAAATTCTTCAGGAGCCATAAGTTTGTCTTTTCTGTAATCGACCGTAACCAGATGAATGGAACACGTTCTGGATCTCGTCCATGGCTGCAGCGGACTTCTGCAACGTGAGGGCTTTTCTCTAAGAGAAACAGAACTTTGGAGTACCTTCTGATACCCCCTGAAACACATTCCCCCGTGTTTGCTAGCGGCATGTTTGAGGTTCTCGCAACCCGGGTGGGTTAGATAGACGAATCCGTCTTTAACGCTCTAATTAAACGCAATATGTAATCATTCCCAGTACCAGTGCCCAGCGACGACAATTCAGGGTGCTCTTACATTATTTGTGAAACTCGTGAGAGCCGTTACTCAGCAGTCAGTCACCGACAATTCGCACCGCGCTAAATTTCTGTGAACTGAACCCCATGTAAAGAAGTCGACCTCTTTGTCCACCTAGCTCCCCTCCAGAAAGAATGTTCTCATTGTGGCCTATAGTGAAAACCGAGTATGAAAACTGTTTCTCAAAGAAACGGTTCCGTAGGGAAATGTTTCTAAAATATGTATACGACAAACAATCTAAGCTTGCGCAAATGTTGACCATTCTTATTCATACAAGGTACGTCAAAATGAAGGTCCGTTAATAGTCATATGTTCACTGTGTTCAATAAGTTTATGGTCTTTTCATCAAACTTCAGTTGAATATAATAATCAGTGTATACAGCATGCATTTTTGGACATCATAGGTTTGAATGCGAGCAGAAAAATTACAGCATACTTATTCGGCACAGACAGTATATACTCAGCTTTAGCGAATGGCACAAAAGAATGCTTTTTTCGCCTATCCTCGTAACATGATAGAGAGACTTTTCTTATGGTTAGCCCTAACTATAATTTTTTTCTTACTCATATTCTCATTTTCCCACAGCTTTATACATTGCAATTTAGTCTGACGTTTTATGAAAATACGTTAAAGTTATATACTTCGGTTTTCTAACCTACAGGTACTGACTACGGACCATATACTTTCTTTGACGTATTCTACAAATTATTATTTAACTTGTTCTTCTTAATTTTTTATAGTGGTAGTATAACAGCCTATTTCGAATAACTTTTTTTGATTTTCTCGTCTACTTCCAACGTGTGCCACTAAATTAGCTCGGCTTAAGTACGCGAAACAAGGAGATCCGTTATCGTCAGTACTATTTATCTGCTACAACCAAGCGAGAAGCAGCCGAAAAGTGGCTACTGCCGCCTTGTCTACAGCCGTTATGTTTGTTCCACCTAGATCTTCACTCAAAAAAAAAGCGATGATTTACAATAGAATTGCGACCGCCGCATTCACTATGAATCGATTCCTACACGCCAAATAGTTAATCGGTACGTTTCTTTGGTCCAGTTTCATCGAATCAATTACGTATTCAATAAAAAAGAAACCCGACGAATGAAGTCACGCAAGCATTCTGCTCGATAACAACGCGAGGCCACATACAGGAAACATAGTCGAAGTACAAAGCTGCCCTCCTGGACTTAGAATGAGAGGTTTTGTTACACCCGTTATGCGCTGACGGCTTTTGATCTTTTCCGTTCACTGAAAAGGAAATCACATCACACTTATTTGACAGTGAAGGGAGCCTGAAAGTCTAGCTAAGCGAATGCTTCAATATAAAGTTTGAAAATTTCTAGCATGGGAAAAAGTCGTGAGCAATGACAGAGGATAGCATACATAACACAATAATTTATTGTCATAAGAGTGTTTCTATTCCGTAAAAGAAACGTGGGAATTTTTCATTCTTATACATCTAATAAAGCGAAGCTAAGAACACGCCAATGACGCCAAAGAGACCCAAAGTTCACGTCGTTATAAGGTAGAATGCGCGTATCCTTCTTTTCCGCCGTAGTATACTGAGAAACTCAAGACCCCAGTGGTTGAGGCACTCCAAGCTAAGATTGCGCTGAAAAATACAATAAATATATAATCTGCGTGCATAATGTAGCAATAACGACTAAAGGCAGTTATTTTAAGTTTCTTGTCAAAACAACCTATCTGACCCACATAATCATTCCAGAAAACCTTTAAACAAAATGTATTAAATAAAAAACGGTGACGATAAATACATATGAATCTATCGCCATCTAAAGATTTTTGAGCTTTGTTCCGGATCAATATTGAACTACCTAGTAGAAAAGCAGAAGTATAAATTTTCTTTCGATACACGTCCTTTACAGCTCGGACTTAAAATTTTTAATTTCCTAATATCTTAAAAAATATTTCTTCACTTTTTTTCACTTGTTAGTGTTTTGGATAGTCAATACTATTAAAGAATCTTCGATTGAAGAAACATGAAGAAAAATATTATCCAATCGTATATCGTAGGTAGTGCTAATCCAACACTACAACAATACAATTAAATTAAAATTATGCGATGCAAAGGATAATAAAGCCTTAAAAATGCGAAATTCCGTCTAAAAAAAGAACTATCGTATACGTCAGGCGGTAGTCCTGCATTTTTTTCCAATACAAAGAACAACGTTCAGAAAAAAATTTGTTAAAAACATCATCTGTAAACAAATCTCCACGCCTTCTTGTAGTATATTGATTAACCACTTTTAGAAATCCTCCAAGATAAAAGTCTGTCAATAAAGAATTAGTGAATGAAATGAGTATTTAAACATTCTCAAACGTATTTTAAACTATTATAAACAAATGAGATTTTTTATTTACCGTTGATAATTAATCGCTTGCTTGAAATATGTTTGCGTATCTTTATCGAGTATATGTGTGGCTTTGTTTATAAATCCGATAGCGATCCCGATTCAAAATTGTGCAAAAAAACCGCTCGCGACCAACCTTTGGCCTAGGGTGCCGTACAACGAACCTAACAGTACAATCTTTCAAGTAGGCTATCGTCAACACGCGCGACGAAACGCGCGCTCTCAGTCTAGCAGACGACTCGCAGCTGTAAATATTAGTGTCGGTTTAAAGTTGGTCTTTCGTATGGATACCGATCAACCTATAATTTGAAAAGAAACAACACATAAGTTAATATGCATTCTAGGTGGTGCATGTGAACTAACACTTTGACAACGGAGTGTATGTATAGTTTCTTTCGTATGCATAGTTAGTTCAAAAACATCGTATTGCTATGGAGGCGATGGATGATAGTCTCGGTGATGCGGCAGAGAATGTGTGAGTTGTATGCTCATTTTGCTAACGTTAATTTTACCTTCGTATAACTGTTATGACTATTATCTGTTCATTATTTGCATTTGGTCCGTTATAAAAAAAAACCAAGCACAGCATGTTGGATTAGTGGAAAACTTTTGCTAAATTAAAAAAACGTTAGCAGAAATGCTTAATAATAATGCTCAATAACTGATTTAAAAAATGAGAAGATAGATGAGCTTGGGAGGGAAAAGGTGTAATGAAAGCCTACACGATCAGCATCAACTGGACCCTCAGCAAATTGGTTACATACATTAGTATACAGATAGACTCAGATGCATGGCACGTCTAAATTCAGCAGGTCGCGCCATGTGATCAGATACAGTTATCCTAACGTACCCTTCTTTAATTTATAAATTATAAATATTCCAAGTATTATTAATATAAATATCTTCAAGGTTATCAGTTAAAATTGAGCGGCAACAAACTGATTGTTTTGTATAATAGAAAAAAAAACTATTATATATTTATTCAATTCCACAACTTGTGCACAAATATAGGTAAGGGTTGCTGTATATAAAGTGTGTGTCGTTCAAACGGAAACAACGTTGCACTTTGATAAGTTTGAACCAAGCAAGTTTACACAGCCAATTCTTTTTCGAAACTTTTTTCTTAACAAAATAAAATAAGATGGCTTCCGTTTGTTTTTTAGTGATTGGCCGTCTCGATGGTTGGATATCTCAAAGGTTCTCGACCGCAGCGGGCCGTTATCTGTTCCAGACTTTGAAGCTGGTCTGTTCAATATGATTCGAAATCAGTGTAAAATTCTCGTCATTGGAGCAGGCGGGCTTGGTTGCGAACTCCTCAAAAATCTTGTTTGTATCTCTTTGTTTTTTTTTTTTATATTTAGATCATAAAATTAAAAGCTGTTGAGTGCTTCTTAACAGGGTCTATCTTTCTACTATCTTTACAATAGTCTTTTCTATTTTTATATATATTATTCTGTTTCTACTAGCTTTACAATATTATTACGATATGCGAGAGAGGTAAATGGTCCTGCAAATGGTTACGAAACTTACAGTACAGCAAATGCGCAATGAGAATGGGTTGTTCATTTTTCGTGTCCAACTAATTGAAGTACTTGATATGAGCCCTAGAGACTCAACCCTTGTGTAGCTTTACTTTAATATTTTTCAGGAATAGCTGTATAATAGTATTCGAGAGCTTTTTTGTCTATACGTTTCTGAAGCTTATGCATTAACCTAATAAAAGATTGCACTTCCTAATTTCAAATTTGCAGGCAATGATGGGCTTCGTGAATATTCACGTAATCGATATGGATACAATCGACTTATCAAACCTTAATCGGCAATTTCTTTTTCGGGAAAAAGATATCGGCAATTCAAAGGCTGAAGTAAGTATTTTTTTTCTGTTCTTTGCTTTTTTACATAGTACCCAACGAATGGGCGGACAAACATTTGTTGTTGAGAATTCTGTACTCGCAATTTGGTTTTTATATTTCTTACGTACTGTTTACCGAAATAACAATTTAGCTGAAGCATGGAAAAAATGTTTATTTGGCATTCAGCGTTACTATTCATAATAGTGCATTAACAAAATTACCTTTATGTATCGTAACCATTTCTTCCTCATTATCATATCTTTGTTTTTTTAATATAAGTGGTTTGTTTCAGCAGCTTACAGACTCGTAGCTATAATTAATTGTTTCATGTATGCTTGGTCGCACCTGATTTTATGACGCCAGCATGCTCAATTGACAGTTTTGAGGTTCGGTTAATGCTGCATTTCTCACTAGTGTAATGAGGAATTTGAAAAAAAGAAGATTAAATGAAAAACATAATAAGGTTTCGGTAAAGTTTTAGAAGGTTTAAATTTAACTTTTGCTTTTGCATTGCAGAACGGAAAAGCCTGCGCAGTACGTTTCGTTTGTGCTTCCTTTTAAAAGAAGAATGAAAAGAGTTGTGAGGTATATACAACTAAAGATAACAATGTCTTATCATCCTTTACTTTTAGGTTGCTGCTGAATTCATTAATAACCGCGTGCCTGGCGTCAAAGTAACGCCATATTTCGCCCGAATCGAGGATAAACCCGTCGAATTCTACGAAACCTTCAGTATCATTGTTTGCGGTCTTGACGCAATTGCTCCTCGAAGGTATTGCCATTAATGGTGGAAAATCATACAACAGATACTCACATTCTTTTTTTACCCGACAACCTGCGGGTTGCGTATTTTATTTAAACTTGAATGGGCTTCCGAACGTCAGAAGAAAATAGGTATTATATTTAGCATGCAGCAGGGCGATGCGTCAGACATAATACGATTAATTGGAGTGGATTTACCACAACGATAACTTTAACCATGACTATGTTCTCTTAAAGTTATTTTTAACTTAAGTCAGTAAGATGATTTCAATTCACGCAAAACAGATATAATTTCCTCTTAACAAGCACTTTGATTTTACGATTTGCTGAAAGTTGTAAAGTCGACTCGGGGTACTTGTTGTGAGATTGTCACAGTTGTGCAGTTGTATCCTACTTTTCATTCATTTATTATTGCTTACTTTGTATAGATGGATCAATCGATTAATATGCTCAATGTGCGAATACAATGATGACGGCGAACTACAACCAGATACTGTACATCCCCTTGTCGATGGCGGAACCGAAGGATTCAAAGGGAATGCAAGGCAAGTAGTCACTCCTTGTCTGTGTATTTTGAAATACGCGAATATTAGTTATATTGTATATAGTTCATCTTGGTATAACTAATTTCTGTCGTCTTTATTTTTCTAGAGTAATTGCCCCAGGCTTGACTGCATGCGTTGAGTGCATACTTGATTACTATCCACCGCAGGACAAGTTTCCTATGTGCACATTAGCGCAGACCCCACGCCTACCAGAACACTGCGTTGAATATGTGAAAATAGTTCAGTGGCCAAAGGACAATCCATTTGGTGGAGGTATGACTGCAGTAGTGTAGCAGAGCACTAAAATGATTGCTTGGTGTTGGGTATCTAATCATGATTTCAGAAAAATCAAAAATTGTTAACGCCATCTCGATAGCTGGAGTCATCGATGTTTTGTTAGATCCAATGCTATATCATTTGATCTAGTAATTGTTCCAGTATCAGAAATAGGCTTATGCCCAGGCTGCCTTTTTAGGAAAAACCTATTACAAAACTTTGAATGTCCAATTCCACATTCCTTTCTTACGTAGCCATTGGTCACTCGATGACTATCATTAGGCAAAAGCAGCTTGAATGAAAGCACTTATATAAAATAATCTATTACTACATGATGTGGGCTATTGATACATCACCCACAAACCAGTTACTGAAAAAAAGATTTATGAAATTATCCATATGAAATCTGAGACAAGGCATACGGAATAATGTATATTAACAGGATAGACTAATGGACTAGCAAAATACACTAATTTCGCGTCATCTTGTTACAGAATCCACTGAGATTGATGGAGATAATCCGGAACATGTCGCATGGATTCACGAGCGTTCGGTGGAACGAGCTGCCCAACATGGTATTCTCGGGCCAACTTATCGGCTGACTCATGGCGTAATCAAAAACATCATTCCTGCTGTTGCCTCCACGAACGCAGTTATTGCTGCTATTTGCGCCAATGAAGTTTTTAAAATTGCATACTGGTACGTGCTTATAGATTAATGGTCAGACAAAATACGTTTCGGCTATTCTAAGGTATGGTAAATAAATAGGTCAATAAACAACGTATCAAAGGTATTTGAATTTCCGCAAATATACCGGGTATCTTAAAATAAGTATATGCAGATTAAATTCTTATAATTTCGATTTCCATTTACAAGAATCTCTATTCAAATTCAAAAGAATATAAATAAAGTGTATAACTTTCTTACTACCGCAGAAGTTCGTAATTAGCACCGTGCTGGTTAGTACACCTCTAATAATATCCGGCTCTTAATTTACAATTTAACGATAAAGATTTTCTTAGTGTTGTAGCGCGTTATTGCTCAACTGTGGCTTTTAAATTTTTTAGCGTGATTGGTTTTTCGGTGCAGACCTCATTTTTGAAGTGTCTTCGCAGAAAAAAAGTCAGAAAAATGAACAGCTTATTATGAGACTACTTCCTTTAAATCATTCGTTTGGAAAGTTTGGCACCAAGATATGTTTGTACATCACAATGATAGTGTGAAAATAAATTTCACCACAGCCCGCCCGAGTACGTAGTACTGTCAAAAAGGAATACTTTAATTAATGTTTTGCGCGAAATATCGCACCGCACTGTAACTTCTGGTAAGTTTACTTAGTAACATGTGGATCTTCAATCCCTTTCTATTTGCAACGATACTGAACGATTGAACCAGTTAATTTGGATGTAGCTTCATCACTTCAAGCAATCTTGCCCGAAAACCAGGTGTCCTATTTACACTTTTCCAAGTACCATTCGCAAAATCCTTGTTTGGTCAAGAACCTGCTCGTTAATAACATGCACAATTGTTGAAATATAATTTGTCGAGTGCGATGGATATTTGATTTGCTGATGTCAAGCTTAAGACTTGGTTGCCTTATAGATTTTGGGAATGTTTCGTTATAGCTTTCCAGTACGCTTTAATACTGGCTAGTGAAGACCATCGATGTTTTTTGTATTCCGAAAAATGTTCAACGATTCCATTGATTTCAAACTTATCCTTTATCCGTCTAAATATAATTCGCATTGGCGGATCTGCTTAAAATGCCTTGCAATATTTTTTTCTGCTATATTTTTACACTCCTAATCGTATACAAAAATATTTTTTGCTCAAAAATTAAATTTTGGTTCATCTTTTATTTCCGACTAATTATAACTTAAAAAGAAAGAATAATTAGAAAGTTATGATCTTTTAAATAGTGCGCACATTCCTTTGGGATACCCCGTGTCATAGGTGACCTTGATTATAGTACTATAAGGAAATGCTGTTACGGCAAAAATCTTTTTGGTCTAAATGAGATGCAAAAAAACTGCCATCCATCCATGTGCCTACCCCAATTTACAATCTTTGAACGCCAGTGCATTTAAAGTTCCCACAAAGATCGAATCCACAATATTTTAAACACAAGTGACATATTACTATTCGAAAACATCATTCCTATTGTCCACCTAACAGGTTTTAATTTTTGGTAATTCTCTTTCCATTTTGTTGTTAAATAATACAACCTATAATTTAAGAATTTTGCGTACTTACACAAGCGAATCATGGACTTTGTAATTTGCGGTCATTCTTTGTGCTCTCTATAGCGCCCTCTGGCGGCATTGGGCAAAAACAGTTTTGTTTAGTGCAAAGTCAGGTTGCCCGTGTGTGCACAAGAGAGAAAGAAATTGTGCATTCATTGTTATAAGAAAATTATATTTGCTAGTAAATTATTTACATAGTCGCGTGGCGTAAAAGTAATTCCTTGGTATATGTTCGTTCTACGTTTGTAGCAAATTACAACCTATGTGTTTATTCAATGTTGTTTTAATATTTGAGCCTCACCGCACCGTTGTTGGGTGCACCTGTTGGCATTGTGCCACGGCCGGTGTATTGTGAGGTTAATGACAGACGTCGCGTGATACTATTATCGAGTTTCGCAATTGATAAGGTGTTGTATTATATAATTGGCATTTATTTGATAGTGTTTTTTTCCCACTCTATTTTTATTATATATTTGAAAACATAATTATTCTGCATTGCAATAAAAATATTTTTTATTCGTTAAGCAAATTTGGCTAAACAATGATGAGTAGGTTTTACAGATAAGTGAGACAAATGGACAAATGAAGTTAGGTAAAGATGAAGCACGTACGAAAACAGCAATATCCTGAGATTCCACATTAATTAATTAATTAAACGCATCTAGAAACGACCGGTTTGGTTTGATACTTTATCTTTACACATTCTATGCATTAGTGGACTATATTACTGATTACTTTCATAAATATGATTCGCGTGTAGATATTTGTTGTCCAAAAGTCTCGTACTTTTTAATACAGAATTTTTTTTTCATTTCAGCTGTTACCCAAACCTTAAGTCATACGTTAGTTTTAACGACTCATACGGAATTTTTACAAACACTCATGAAGCGGAGAGACTGCCTGATTGTATGGCATGTTCAATAAAGCCCCGAAATCTCACCTTTAAGGAAGAGGTACGTTTCACCATCGCATGTGCCAAAGCAAAAAAGAGACTGACATGTTTCATTCAATATAAATAAAAAAAATGTGTTCTGGTTATTTCGTAAACTATACAATGTTGTGTCTGATCCCATTGAGTACTACAACGTATTCCTCACTGAGTTACTACTACCACTGTTATTGTTTTTTACAAATAAGGAAAACTGGATATATTATGCCACTTCTATTACTCCTATTAAATCCTACATTTAATTATATGAATTGTATGGATGTCTTCTCATTTCAGACGACACTTGGTGATGTACTAGACTTTTTGAAGGAGTCTTCACAATACCAGATGATGAATCCTGGTGTTACAACAACAACAGAATCCGGCAACAAGACGCTTTATATGCCTGGAATTGCAGCGCTTGAGAATGCCACGAAAGAAAACCTTGAAAAGACCCTTATTGGTAAGTTACTATTTCAATCAATACGTTTGATTCAATGACTCCACATATTGTGTCAAATATTCTACTGTAGTATCTGTTTTGAATCATGGTCAGTTTTCCAAGTACGTTCAATTTTACCGTACCTTGCTTTTTTGCTATGCGCTAGCGATGCAGGCTTTGCTTGAGTAGGTAAGAATGGGACTAGAGTGCTAATAAGTAGAATTCAAGCTGATTGAGTACGTGATATGGATATCTTAATAGATGGGCTACACTTGTTCCTAGCGATTCGGAAGTTTTTGTTAAAAACGGCAGGATCTATCTTCGGGAATTCGTGGAAAACGTTTTGTACTTTTGTTATCGCTTCTATGATGACCGTAACAAGATTTTTTTGTGGTAATCTCTTATTGTTTCAGAGTTAGGATTTGTAAATGGTCAGCAGATACTTGTCAACGATAAGACCTCTCCAACAGGGTTCACCTTCAACATTTATTTTAAATAAAACAGCAATACCGAAGCAAATTGAGTCGTATATGCGGATTTCGGATCTGATCTACAGTCGCCAATGGAGAAAGAATATTGCTGGGTTGAATGGATTTTTTTATATTTAGTGTCTTTATTCGCATTGTTTCCTCTACTTGTTGAGTATTTATTTTTTAACACTTAATTAAAAATATTATAGTTAGCTATATGCGCGTTATTATTTGATGGGTGTAATAACTTTTGGTATCTAATTTGCCCTTGCTTTGAATTCCTTTCCGACGAATATTTAATTTCTCAAAGCTGAAACACCAATTTGCTCAAAGACAGCTTACAGGTTTGTTACCACCTAACACGGCAGAACCTTGTGCTCTTTTTTTCAGTACTTGCAAAAATATTAAATTTGGTCATCCTACAAATTCAGAACTGGAAAATGTCCCTGCCAGCATTGTTTGCTTATGTTGCTTGTTCATTTTGTTAAAAAGTGTTAATAATACACTACACTATCTAATTTTTGGAAGGTGTTTTATTCTACTATTAGTTCGCTTCTCATAAACGCTGTGCGCTAACAACACCACTTTTACCTATTGTCATTCATTAATGAGTTCATAACACTAACTTATAACGCTCTATTTTAGCAGAGGCCGCTTGGTAAACAAAATATGATGATCCGAATCATTTTGCTATTAGAACATAGTAAAACTGTTAGTTACGAAAACCTGCAATAAAAGCAACCGGTTGTGTGTCCATATTCCTTATGATTAAACACAAACACAGTGTAAATTTTTTGTAACGGAGAATTAGTATTATTGTTAATCACATAGCACTCGTTGGATCGGCGGTTTAATTGTTGAGCTATCTAGATGAATATTAATTTTAATTTAAAAACCCTACAAATTGCGTAGAAGTCTAGATTTTCAATCTACAACTAGAATTCGTCCTTTATAGAAGGCAGAATTTAAACCTGTGATAGACCTGTATCATACTGCATTCGCGTGCGTCGATTTAAGCATGTGATGAAAACAGCGGTTCAAAAACCTGAAAAAAACTAAGTCCGTTGAATGAATAGCAGGTTAAAGGGAAAATTTCTCAGCTTGATAGTAGTTTTCTATGCTGTTGGATCATTTATAAGGCCCTTACCATGAAGCAAACTCAGTCCACGATTTCTAAACTATGTGGGTTAATAAATTAAAATTCATTATTTACTCCACCACCTGTTTTCTAAAAGTTAGACACTCTTAACACGATCCTCTGTTAATGCCCGTTAAACCCAATTACCAAAAATGAATAAAAAAAAAAAAGAGAAACATTCTTTTTGAGATATTTAGCAAACGTCTTTCAAGTGGTGGAAACTCTCTTCGTATTGTCAATCAAACTTTAACTCATGCGCTGTTGTCTCAGTAGCATATATCTGCATTTGAGAAAAAATTAGCATGCAGCCTTCGGAGATACTTTTCAAATTACTAGCGCACTGTAAAATAATAAAGATCCCATAAACAAAAAAAAAACGTAGAACTTTCAAGCTTGGAATAATTTAACTAAGAAGTTTTCAATGCCTGTTATCGCCATTTGACCTATTAAACCATACAAGCTTCAGACAAGGTTATTAAGATATTCATATGGTATAGGTATTGTACATCACTTACAAGCGCCCGCCATTTCCAACATAGTATTTACAGCAACAACGACAAATAAGTCGCTTTTCGATTTACGGGGCCCAGAACTGGTCCAAATAATTTACATGTATCGAACATAAAGGGTTGATGAACCATTACAAATAAAGTTTATATTTCATATCGACTGTTAATCATACGTAATCAATGCGTAAAACAACCCACAGGAAGCGACTTGTCTCTTCATTTGGAGCTGTGTTATATAATTATATTTTTTTATGACGTTCCGGCCAGGGTGCCGTCATAAAGGCATTGCCACTAGAATTCGTTGACTTTTACCGCACCGGATGTTTTCAGATCGACGGAGTTTGACACCAGACAGCATTTAGATGTCTGCAACCTTTTCGCTTCCTAGCGTGCACGCGTGTACATAGTGTACTATTTTTACCAAAACTTTGCAGAAAAATGGCCAAGCGCACGAAGAAGGTCGGAGTCGTTGGAAAGTACGGCACCCGTTATGGAGCTTCGCTTCGAAAAATGGTAAAGAAAGTTGAAATTACCCAACACGCCAAGTACACTTGCACATTCTGCGGCAAAGAAGCCATGAAACGGACCTGCGTCGGCATCTGGAACTGCAAGTCATGTAAGAAAACTGTCGCCGGAGGAGCGTACGTGTTTTCCACCACGGCTGCTGCTACAGTTCGCTCTTCGGTTCGACGTCTCCGTGAGACCAAGGAAGTTTAAGGAAATTACAATAAACACACCTGACGTTTTGCCAATGGTCATCGACTTGAGGCAGGCCGTCGGCATTGTTTTGTATTTCACTGCTGTTTTTATTGTGAATGCTGCTATCTATTATTACTGTGCCTTTTCAATAGACGCCTGGATGCGGATAAATGTGATTTGTTGGTGCTTAAGGAAAGCAGCGTATGAAAGTAGTAACTTTCAGCTTTCCTTTGTAAAACCTCGTGAACGTGCTTATCGACTTGTTATAAGAACGCGTCCTCTGATGAAATTGATAATTGTATTGTTGGATCAAACCACAGACCACGACAGTTCCATTAGAAGTACTTAATACTATCTACTGCTGTTAAGAGTGACTAGAATCAGAGAGACTAGACCAGAATAGAGATGCTTGGGTAAAAAATGCAAAAATCGTTAACTCAGCTTGGCAAGGAGCTGCACAAGTCTACCGATTTGTTACAAACAGTAATAGCCATTTGTCAGGGCACATGTTGGAACATAGCGAACATTTGTGGGAGAACGTCTTGGGCCTCTGAATAAAAACCAACCTTTTATTCTAGCTCTTATTTTGGAAATCATAAGGATGAGTGACGTTTAAATGAGTAATGTCTATAAACTGCAATTCTGGGCCGAATGATCTATTTCGTATTTCATAAGAAAATTTCTTTATAGTTTTTTTAAAGTTATGAATTTCTTAAGTGTTTTTGAAATTAAGTTCTTACACTCTGCTCTAAAGCTCAAATCAACAGGTGAGGATATAAGTTAAACATAAGTAATTCTACGAATTCTTAGCGAAACAAATGCTGCATTGCAAGTTTAAGTGCGTACGGGCTTGCATTTATCTTCACTAACCAAGATGGGAGAAAAGATCTGGTACATTTAATTAAAACGCAAAAGTCATAATTGACTTTACAACCCAACGATTCTCATGTTTCGTGCTCGACTAGAGTTATATCATCACATGTTTTTCAGTGCCCACTCATCTTGTTGGTCGAAAACTAAAGTTGCAGAATTTCTAGGCTTTTTAGATGAGCAGAAATTAAGGAAAAAACTTTCAGTTGAGATCGACTGAAACTTTAATCAAAATATTTAGTGTGTATTCCGTTTCGTATAATGGAACTCCAGTTACATTTAGTCTGATTACCTTAATTCGAATTACACATATTTCGAGTTTCACCCTCTTGTGTCACAAAAATGAGGCAGAATGAGAATCAAAGAAAATGAGGATTTTATGAAGCATAAGCTTATCAACACAGGCTGTGATGAGCCCCTATTCAACAGAATTTGCTCTTTCTTATGTTCAAATGGTATGTCATGCACAACTTTCACGCCCGGATTTTTTCACATTTTTCGACTTTTCTAAGTTTAAGTGAACATTTCTCTGCGCGCGTATTTAGCAGTATCTATGTATTTTCATGTACTTTCGGCTAAATTCCTAAAAAATTCTTCTAAGTGGTACATTTCCGTTTGACCCTTCTATTCGTTTTTATTCTAGTTGTAAAAAACGATGGCCCGTTAAAATATCTCTTGTAAACCTGAAATCTGTAGTTAGGTTTTCTGTCCCTAAAGTTATAGTAAAAATAAAATACGCAATCTTAATAGCAAAAAATATACACGGTTGTCACTGTTTATTAAGTTTGCTTATTGCATTGCTTTAACGCAACTAATAGTAGAATAGTAAGCTATATAGTCATAATATTTTTTTAAGTTTCAGTGGTGTGTAGTCACAGCAAACAAGCATTGCTATAATCATAAATCGACGATCCTTTGAGTAATAATATACAGTTATCGTCACAACGCAAAACATCACCTAAAGTCACCCGCTTGAGCGACAGGACCATCTGTTGTCTATGTCGCACATGGCTGTTTCATCGGTCACCTCCTCATTTTCAGTATTCTTATCTGTAGAGTTGTTTCATATTCACATTAGTGCAATTTTTCTTTTCTTTTAAACCTTTTATTCTATAGTTTTATATCATATCTTTTTGTCGCAATTTGCAGCAAGAGTAGCAGCGTTAAGGCAAGCTTTCGTCTGTGGGGCAGTTTTTTTTACTTTTATGCTTCCGCTGAATGTGTGCATACCCTGGAAATATATCTAAGCTGCTGATAGCATTTGATTTCTTAAGAGTTTCATTTCGCAAAGATGTGCCATAAGTATTGAGGAGGTCTGGTACCCGTGTAGCAACAATCCAAACTGCGCTGTGTCTCTAAACGTTATAATAAAAGACAAATAAATTAAATTTGCATTAATTAATACATTACATTCGGCACCACTTCGCAGTTCTACACTTGATTAGTTTAGAAATGTTCAATCGAATTCCAAGAACGAAGTAATCATTCAGCGTCATCTAAAGCTGCCATGAGCTGACAATTGATTAACCATTCAATATTGTATATATATGTAATCATGACTGTAAATATTCGAAACCAAGCCAATTCAACGTGTCGTAGATACCGAGAATTTATAAATATTACCCTGTTACCTTGCTTTATCGGGAGATTTCGGAACTTACTCAGCATTTCCATTTATATCGTATCTACATTTCTGGTCACTACGACAAAACCCACATCACATTGCTATCAACTGTTATCGATATCATCGAAATTGTTGGCAATGCCTTGCATATATTTGGCATATTACTGACTTGTCTGGGATTGCAAAGCGCTATACTGACACCACAACGTCGCCACAACTCACGAACTTTTAAGCCATTATTCGTCGACACAATCATAATGGGCATATTTATCAAAAGCTTTGTAACACAGTTGCTGTAAGATATAATAATACAGTCAACGGCTGATAACAATATCATTGTTTAGCGCAGTGGTTTAGCAGCAATGCTCTTAGGACAAGACACATCAAGCTTAAGAGATCATAGAAAATATATGTAACGATCGTCAAAAACAGGAGTTTCCATTTTCTTTGGTAGTCCTAATGTCGGTACCTCTTTGTCTTCTGTTTCGAATATGACAAGGCTAGCTGACGACAGAAATATCTGTTCGAGGAAATTCATATTCATCTGTTCACTTATATTTATGAATGTTTAGTTTTATTTGATAAATGGCAACCCGTCGAGTGAACGTTCTCTGCTGCACACAACTACTCGGGAACACCTTTTCTTGACATATATGTATATACACAAACTTGTTGAAGTAATGCACACGCTCTTTTTCTTTTACCAGCGTGCCTACATTCATCGCATACTGTACATATACAGCGCGACCATATTCACTGTAGTTTTACGACAGTGTCAATTATTCATTTTTGCGCAGCATTTCCATATACAGGAAGTATTCAGCGCGTCTTACGCTTCCGAGATTGAATTTCTCTACTTTAAAGTGTTTCAGCTCTGTGCTTTTCCACACGCCTTTGGGCAACAGTGCTAGTTAATAATAAAAGGTTAAGCAGTCAACGGTGTTGTAATATACAGCTATTAACCTACTAATGAGGCGCAACGGACTTTGATGAAAGGAAGGCATTGATACAGAAGATGAATTGTTTGGCCTGCGCATCGTTGTTGAGAGTCACTGTGCGCAACAGCTCGTTCTTGCAACAAGCTGTATCTTTTAAAGCGAACACCAGACTTACACGGGCTCCATCTTGACCGTTGCTCCGATACTGCGCGAACCCGTACTTCCAGAGGTACTCCTTACTCGCAATATCGTACAGCGCAAAGCCCATATTCCAATCGATAGTTAACGAAGCAGCCTTGTTTTCAAATTGTACACTAAAAGTTTTACTGCTCAGTGTAATTACGCTCAAATACGTGCACAGAGCCCAGGCACGTTCCAGCACCGCTGTAGATTGACCTCCCGGTGGCAGTGAAAACCGAACACAGTGGTGTGGTGTTTCTAGGACGTAATGTCTTGATGTCAAAGCTAAGTCGATACATTCAGCGTCTGGTTGAAGCGAACATTGATAAGCCTTGTAGACAATCTGGCAGTCGTCAAACTCTGTAAGGGATGCTGGCGCCCGATCGAACTGGTAAACCGAGGCGCCCTTTAAAGCAAGGAACAGAGGAAGCGTGCGTTGACGATTCCATGGAAAATAGCACTTTTTGCTGATCCAATCCATCCAATGAATTTTGTTTGCCTCCTCTTGATTGCGATTTAACTGCTCAATCTGTAATCAAAGCAGCCATTCCACAGAGGTGTGATTGCTAGTACAGTAAGGACATTTTTCGTAGTGGACAACAAACGACTTGAATTCTAAAAGGAGGTAACTAAGAAGAACTTGGTTAAATCTGTTAATATCTAAAGCTATGCAATAACAATTTAAGCCGACCAAAGTGGGCGATTTCGAAATTACAGAGATACAATTTTGAATAGGAAATCTGATATACTTTGTCCAGTTGATGTAGAACCCCTAACTACGTCTATAATGTAAATGTTTTAGGTATGACTGAAGTCCACGAATGACTGACAAAACTTTTTAATTACCGGGATGATATTACGGCAACGAGTAAGTGAGCAAAAACATGTATGATGAGTTATATAGAGACCTTGTGGTCATTGCATCGTTGCACGGCTGCATGTATTGTACGGAGCCACGTCTCCCGCTCTCCTCGGTCCGTACACTGTACGATGGTCTCCTCCTTTGAAGAACACGCTTGAACTTTAAATGCCCTCTGCTCTTCCATTTCCTGTACGTATGCAAAGAGAAGCTCCACATAAGCCGCCTGCGTACCCCCTTCATCATCCTAGTGTAATACCGGGAAAGCAAAATTACCGTTAACGGAAGTTATTTTCATACCTACATATGTATATATATATATATATATATATATATATATATATATATATATTTTTTTTTTTTTTTTGTTTTTTTTTCCCTTAAACTATTTTAAAGAGGCACATTCCCGTAACCGCTAAAAATGGAGTATCCATGGGTATTCAACTCACATGGTTTCGGATATAGTTCATAGAGGTCAAACGAGCTCGCTCAGCCTGCTAGGCGGTCATTTACTGCGATGTTTAAACGCAAAACGGTACTTCAGCACAGTCAAAGGCAGAAATAAATACCGGAAAATGTTTATATAGAATTGATCTCCTTTTATGTTGTAGAAGTCAGATTGGAGTGCTAACCTTTTTAAGTAGAGATGCAACTTCCCGATAGTGCTTTACTGTTAGAATAACGCGTTCCCCTGCACTTCGGAGTAGTTCAGTTGCCTGCTCCCTGCTAAGGCCTCGTGTCGGCACTTCATTCACTTTGACTATAGCGTCGCCGACATAGAGCTTGATCGAAGAGCTGTCCGCGCGGAGAATTTTCGAGATAATAATCGGAAGGTTGTGTTCATGTCCTCCTTTAATAGCTACTCCAAAGCCGCCTTCCGGTCGACGGGGTAGCGCGATCACACGCTCCTAAGCAAAAAAATAGAGACAAATACAGCAAAGTCGGCCTTGAGTGACTCGTCACGGTGCCTTTGTCATCTAAAAAATCGGAAATCTCTATAAGCAAATCTTAGCATGACAAATAAATGAGTATTCATGTAACCTTTTTTTATTTTATACCTTTGCTAAGCTTCATATAGTATGTATCCATGTCTCGTATAATATTTACGTTACGCTAAAGTGACCGTTTTAAAATTATATATATACATATGCAGGTTGGTGCCTCATCCAAACTCAGGTCATCCAAACTGGGGAAAATTTGGCGGGTTGTTTTTCGTAACACGCATGCATTCATTTGCTGCTCCTGGTAAAATAAATAAAAAAATAAAAAAACTAACTCGCTGGGGTGAAGAACAGTGCGTCGTTTTCAGAATTTAAGTAAGTATCAGCTATTATTCGATCTTTTCACACTGGGCGAACGACCTACAAAGACTAAAAGCGTGTTTTTTACCCGAAATCGATGGTCTACGTAGCCTCTGTTTCCAAGCTGGTTCACCGAGGAAATCCGAGGAGACTCTTCATGAGGCAAACAGAATGATCCTCAATAGAGTGTAAATTCAAAGAGATTGAAACTTCCTCAAAGTGGCATAAAAATACAATTTTTGATAAACTTAGGTTTAAAGCACCTTTTAATGAGTTTACACCCACCATTCTTATTATTCACGATAACTATTAAAATGATATTTACTGATTACAGAAGAAATGTTTTAAAAATGATTAGTTAGTGTTTTAGGTCCGCATTCGAACCGTAACCGCAACGGATGGTGGTTACATTGAGTAAACATAACCGTCAAGAATTACACTTCCAACACAAGCAAAAAATTCGCTGACATATCTGTTCTTCTTTACATACAAAGCAGAAGTAAGATTCTTATTTTACATATGCCACAATATATATATATATATATATTGCCATCAATGAGTGGTTTTGATTTGTTAAGGCACGAGTATTTCATGCCTTAATCTACTATCAAAACTACTTGTGGTATTGTGTGTTCTATCAGTGACCAACGGGATCAACTAAAATTATTTAATCCGATTATGTAATAATATAGCATAACAAGAGGCTTTCCTCCTAAAGTTTTTATCATGGACATCCTATAATTGGTCAACTGCAAAAAAAAAACACGCCAGAGACAAGTAATATAATTAGTATATACCTTGTTGGGTACGGAATACTTGTTAGAGTTTCCTCCAGCATTCGGTATTATGAGAAGAACATGGTCACGCAGTTCAAGCTGTACTGTTACACGGTGCTTTCCGTTTGAAGAGCAGATGAACATCATCGTCGAGTGCTGGGCGAAACATAAGGACGATTGAAGTAAATTCCAGTGGCTCCTTGCAATCTGGTCTTTTTATACTGGCTTGACTACAATAAAGGCTTCGATTTCTGCTCCAATACGTAGTAGTAACAGCCCCTACTTTCGTCGGATTGCACTCAGAAGCAGTCCTTCATGATGACATATTACATGATCCATATGACTGTCGCTCCATTTAATACACTTTGTTCGCGTGGCTGAACCCCATTGGGAATCAGCTGGCTCCTAGGCAGAATTAGCTATCCGCGGTCTTGCAGTCTGTTGTCATTCAGCCGTTTGTGCAATAGCTGGTAAGCCCTACATTCGGTGACCATCCATCATACACCAAATGACATGGATGGTACCTTCGCTGAAGGGAAGGACGCATATATATATAAGTATTTCCATTAGAATACAATGCTATAATGGCAGAAAGGTAATCTCGTGCTGAAGTCGATTTCTCTTGAGCCCTGAAACAGTTTGGCCTAAAGCTGTTGTAATACCCACTTATATATATATACATACATATATATGCTTGAAACTAAAGCAGCCATTATCTAAGCGGCAGCCGGCGTAATACTGTTATACAGACTGGTCAAAGCTCATGGAATTATGTCTCCAATTAGCATGTATAGGAAAGAGGTATACAAAGGAAGAAACTCCTGATCTTTAATGATGATTTCACAAAGGACACAGTACTAGCTTCAGATGAAATAGCCAAAAATAAGCTGTTGTCATAAATTGTGCTGGGATTTGATTTTAAGAAACTTTATCTTCAAAAAACTGATAAGTATTGTATAGTAAAATTAGGAAATCACTCACCCGCATTAGATAGTTCGGGCAACGTTCGGTTCCATAAAACCTGAATAAAAAATAAAAATTATCATAGGCCCGAATGATTGATGTAAGACCAAGATAATCTATAAACCTACGTAGAACATTTTTTCTAATGCAAAAAATTTCGATAAACCTATCCTAACCCTACGCATTGAGCCCATGTGCGCGCTTCTTCTAAATAACTGCGGTGTCAACAGATCTCGACGGAACAACACTGGGATTGATTTATCTCAAGCTTTCGAAGCTATAATCTATACCATCGCATCACTTTAAAGTTCCTCGATATACCAGCAGTTCACATAAAAACGAAATTTGCTTTAGAATATTGACAAAATGAGTCATACACTTTTCCTATTTTTTCCCTTTAAAAAAACAATTAAATTTAAGGAATGAGCTCTTTCTGTATATACATA